TGGGTGAGTATCTTAATAGTTTTGTAGCAAGGAATTCTAAGTAGGAAACAAAATCCAAAAGTCATAGAGAATAGAGTTTATAGATTTGTGTACATAAAAATGTAATATTTCTGTGTGGCACACACACAAAAATTAAGGTTAAAAAAAAAAAGAACAAACAGGAAGAAATATATTCAACTCATACAAGAAAGGGATGCCATCTATACAGTACAAAGAATTCTTACCAATAAGGAAACCCTACGATGAAAGATAAGAGGCAGAGGATGTTAAAGACAAAATAAGCCTATGAAAAATCACTCAAACTTACAAATCTTTAAATATAAACAAAATATTATTTTGCCTACTAAATTGGTAGAGATTAAAGGTATTGATGATAAACATGCAGTGTCGAAAATAAGAAGAGAGATGACCATACACTGTTAAAGAAACTATAATTACACACATCTACACAGGGAGCAATCTAGCAACTACTGTTGCAATTTTACATGTGCACAGCTACTCTCGCAAGCTGGAAATATATATATATGTATTTATAAATAAATACATATATATATATATGCAGGTACCTATACATATGTATAAACACACACACACACACATACACTCTCCCTCACTCACACACATACAGAGTAAGCTATGCCTCTTGCCTCTTTGTCCGAGGCCCAGAGTAACAAACTTCAATGTACTGATTATACAGATTTATTCTCCTGGAAAACACTGGTGGGTTGAACGACCCTCACTGATCTCACCCTTTATTCAACCACTATTACATCATATCACTTAGGCCCTGATAGTCTATCTTTTGTTGTTTTCTAAAGATTTCATACAAAGAATCTTTTAAGTGACTTGAGACCATCCATTATTCTTTTTTATTGTTTCTACCCAGTACCTAACACAGCACTGTACACACTGGATATATGTTTACTGATAATGTGCACACTAGCAGGTGTTCAAAACCTCATGGATTTAAATGTAACTATTTACACAGTGTTCCATGATTATCAACTGTAGACAAAAAGACTCAATCTCTTTACCTCACCTCTTTTTGAGAAGGGAATTTTTAAGGGAACATTTGCTTGGTTAACTCCCTGTATGCCAAAAAGGTTAATTTTACCACCATGAAATTAAACAGAGATAGCAGGGCTTTCTAATTGTTGCTGTGTGTCTATTTTCTGCTTGACTGCAAGTTCCTTGGCATATCTTGCCTAATTCCCAGAGCACATAGCCAGAAACTTGGTTCAAATCCCAAGATGGTTGTGTGCTGTCGGACAAGTCATCTAACATCCCTAAACCTCTGTTCCCCCAACTGTAAAATGGGGATAAGGAATGTCCCACGGGATTACTAAAAGGATGAAATAAATTAAGA